AAGCATGGAAGGGTGAGGAGGAACAGGTGATAGTTCCAAACTCCACTCAGCACCAAAACTTTGCCTACTAGTATTCTGAGCTAGTATGTTGATGAGCAGGTGCCCAGTATGATGAGCACCAGGTCTGCTTCCCGACTTGGGCAGATAGACATGTGCTAGCTGGAGCTAGTGTGCTAAAAGTAGAAGTGTAGCTAGTGGTAGCACAGGGGCCAACTTGGGTTAGCTGTCCAAGCAGAAATGAACCCAGACTCCAGAGTACATACTTGTCAGCTAGCCTAAGCCACCTGCTTTGCTCCCCCTAGCTATGCTGCTATTTTTGGTGCACTAGTCCAAGCAGGTCTAGCATATCTGCCCACCCGAGCTGGGACTCACACTCTCAGATTCAGTGTAAATGTCTCTGTAGACAGAACTGCATAGGTGTGAACTTCACCCATTACAGATTGGAGAAAGAACTAAAATTATCCCTCCTTCTGGGTAGTCCCATATTCCCCTGTGCTGGGGTCCCTGGGTTCAAATGTTGGGGATGCTACATCATCTACCCTAGGATGTGCAGAGGACTTTGTTGCCCTGTGCTGTGGTGTATACTCGTCTCCTTGACTGCTAACCATGCTGTGTTGACTCGGACCTGGAATCTCTCCTTCCCACATCACTCCACCTCCTAACGAGGCTGCAGAGCAAGTGCATTGCTGTTGAGGAGCCTGCAGACGGATGCTTCTCTTATGTCTACACTGCAACACTATTTCAAAATAACTAGCGCTATTCCGAAATAACTTAGTCTGCGTCTACACAGCAGGCAGTTATTTCGAAATAGTGTCAAAATATTGTCAAGCTTGAGGATTTCTTACTCTGACTCCTGTAACCCTCATTGAAGTCAGAAGAAGAGTGCTCTATTTCAAAATAAGTGCTGTGTAGATGCTCCCTATTTCGAAATAAGCGATTTCAAAATAAGATACGCAATTTGCGTAGCTCAATTTGTGTTGCTTAATTCGAGTAAAACCCTGTAGTGTAGATGCACCCTCAGGGGTGCATCCTTTGGACTGCCTTAGCATTACTGGTCTCTGATCCCCTGTTGTGAAGTGCGTTGGCTTCAGCAGGCTAGGAGATGCCGTACACAACATCTTTTTTAGTGCTTCTTAGCCTCTCATAACTGAAGATTTAAATAACAACAAAAATTCTAAGCAATTCTAGATTCTGTAGCTTCAGTCTTTTGCTGTTACAAAACAATGTGAAACAAAAAGAGCCACCAGAGCTATATTACACAAGGAAAAATCTGTACAAAGGCAAAAGCAAAAAACATCAAAAGGAATAGGAATCTTATCAATTACACTGTGCGTGAGCACAATACTCCCTTCGCCGCACACATTTCACAGGAAATAGGACTCCCATACTACTTTGGATCAATCTACTGAAACCACACAAACATATGTTTGCTAACCCATGAAATGGAAGAGGTGAGAGAGAGAGAAGCAAAACTAAAGTCCTGTCTAGATTAGAACCATGACAGCAACAGGTACACTTAAACACAATCCTTGTCTACACAAGAAAATTCAGAGCTCATTTTCCAGGAATGGTGTGAGCTCTAGTGTAAAGAGGCAATATGAGAGGGAGCGTTGATGTCCTGAGAGTGAGTATACTGGATCCTTATGCAACCTTGAGTCTGCTCTACAGCCTTAGCTATAGGCCAACTGGCTTTGGCTCATGCAGTAGAGAGAGACTCATAGCTTAAGTCCCAGGTTCAATCTCACTTGCTAACAAGCCAGGTCTGTGGGCTTTACACTAAATAGAGATGCGCCAGAAGGTTTTCAAGACTTGGTGGTGGTGTCTACCTTGCTTTCACAAGTGCAGCTGCTCTGCTGTTGAAGAGGGGAACACATCACTATCTAGTGCAGCTGCACCTATAGTTGTTGCTAGTGAGGTTTCCTAACAAAGTTACCCTGACTAGTATTACCAGGGATTTTTTCATTAGATCTGTCATGTCACTAAATTGTGCCTGAGTCTACCCAGCCAAGTTGGCATTAGCCTTCCCCACCACCCCCCCATAAAGTTTTCCACTGTTGCTGTCACGGTGAAACTGAACCAGTGTTAGCACAGAGTTGAAAGGGCTCCGTGCAGCTGCATGTGTATTTAAATCCCAAATTGTCTAGCCCCGCTGAGAACAGTTCTACTTGACATGCCGCTAGCAACCTGGCAGCTGTCTGGATAATGATCAGTATTTGTGTGATGGTAGTGCATAGAGGACCCGACTGAGATCAAGGCCTTTTTGTGCAACCACATTATAAGACTGTCCCTAGCTAGAGGAGCTTAGAATCTAAACAGCCAGGCAAAGGGTGGGAGCAATGAATTCTTATCCTCAATGTATAGATGGGGAAACTGAGGCATGGAGAGATTGTGATTTACCTAAGGTCACACAGAGGGACCAGGCAGATCAGCAGAGTCATCACCCACTACTTGAACCACAAGACTTCACCCTCCCCACACACACACCCCGTACGTTACCTGGAACCTTCCATCATTGTTCCTTGTCACGGCATCCATGAGGAGAAATGTTATGGAAGGATATAATTTGCATATAACCATAAACTTCATCTTACAGTTGACGGTGGTACGACATGGAGCTGCACACACCACGACACCCATGAGGCTGGGGCAGAGAAAAAAGGGGGTTGGTGGGAGGGGAGATGTTTAGGGCTTTTATGAGTGAATGCTGGAGTGTCTGGGGGTGCTGGGATGGATGGGTGTTAGGATGTCTGGGATAGGTGGGGGTGTTGGGTGCTATCTGGGGAGATGGGTGGGTACTGGGATGTCTGAGAGAGGTGGGCTACGTGTATGGGTGCTGAATGGGAGGGAAGCTGACATCAGGCTGGGGCTGCCTGGGGAAGTGGGGTCAGTCTGAGACTCCACTTGTTAGTCGCTCAGCACTACAACTGCCTTCTCTTGATGCTATTGCTGCAATCCTTCCTCCAGCTCAGACATGGTGGGTGGGGAGACAAGGAATATGCCAGACAGGCAGACAAGCCTGCTGGATGCCTGAAGGGAGGCTCCCTAGTGACCTTTAGTATCAGGAAGAACTGCAGCTGGATGCACCTGGATTGAGAGTTGCTGCAAGACAGGGCTGCCAAGCGTGTCACAAAATGCATGTCACTGGGCGGCTCTGTAAAAATCCATGCCCTGAGGGAAAGGCTGTTAGACACCAACTAGCAATGATCTTCTTTAAATCATCTGAAGAAGTGGGTAGTGCCCACAAAAGCTCATGATCCCATCTACATGTTTTATTAGTCTTTATAGGGTTACCAGATGGATTTAAAAAAAAATACCAGATACACATGATCTCAGAATGGGGGGGGGAGGAGTTGGAAAAAATCCATGCCCTGAGGGAAAGGCTGTTAGACACCAACTAGCAATGATCTTCTTTAAATCATCTGAAGAAGTGGGTAGTGCCCACAAAAGCTCATGATCCCATCTACATGTTTTATTAGTCTTTATAGGGTTACCAGATGGATTTAAAAAAAAATACCAGATACACATGATCTCAGAATGGGGGGGGGAGGAGTTGGACTCCAGCTGGGAGGGGGTCAAGGCACTTGATCTCAGATGGGGAGGGGGCGGAACCGGCCATGCGGGGGAGTGAGGCTGGTCTGGAGGGGGTCGGAGGGAGTGGGGCTGGCCAGGGAAATTGGGAGGGAGAGGGGGAACTGGCCAGCAGGGAGCAGGGCTGGCCAGGAGGGGGTCGGGAGGAGTGGGGCTGACCGGGGGAGATGGGGGAAGGAACAAGCCGGTGGCAAGCAGGGCTGGCTGAGAGGGGGTGGGGGGAGCAGGGCTGTCTGGGGGGAAGAGTGGGGAGGAACTGGCCTGCGGGGAGCAGGGCTGACCTGGGTGCACGCAGATCCCGGGATGCTGCCCGTCCAGCACATGGTCCCGGCAGGGCGCATGAGCGAGTCTGGCCCCAGGGATTCCATCCCGCCCCCCTCCTCTCTACTGTGTAGCTGTGTTCTGCCTCACTGGTAGACACACTCACTCATGATAATAATAAAACTTACTTAATTAAAAAATACAGGAATTTATATGTCCAGTATTTTCTCAATTTGTTTCCCAAACAGAAAACTCAAATACCGGACTGTCCGGTTGAAAACCAGACACCTGGCAACCCTAAATCTTTAAGGTGCTGCTAGACTATTTGTTGGTTTTTTAAAGTTTTTTCAGTTACAGATTAACTTGGTTACCTGTCTGAAGCTTGTTTAAACAGTTATGGCGTATCTAGTTCTATTACTAGCATAGAGACGACCTAATAGCACAGACCTGTATTAGGCTGTTTGGTTAAATCAACTCAGTCAGCTGGCCAAATTCAGCCTTGGCATAAACAGCTGCAACTCCTGTGAAATCACTGGGAGGCACGCCTGCTACTTGATAACATTAAAGTTTCACGGAGTAGCCTTCTGCCACTACCCAATAAGGAACTTCATTAGAATAAAAAAACAATATTAGCACTCAGGCTACCATCAGTCTTTCTGCTTCATTCTGCAGTGTCCTCTTCCCGCAGTCTCTTGGCTATCCTCACGGCATCAGTTTACATGGAACTAATCTGGTTCAACTTAAAAAACAACAAATAGTTTTGCAGCACCTTGGCAACTAACAAAACATGTAAATGGTATCATGAGCTTTCGTGGGCACAGCCCACTTCTTCAAATGACTGGAGTGTTGCAAGTCCA